GGTACATAGTTGAAAATATTTGCTTTATGGTGGCGGTGAAAACATACAAAGTCAAATGATATTATTACGACCTATTTGTTTTAACTAAACTAATCTAGACATGATTCGAGAATGGTAAACATATTATAAAAAACCTATTGATGAATTATATCAATTTAGCAATGTTCTAACTAAAATCTCAAATAATATATTTTTTATTTATTGAAATCTTCAGGATAAATTTTTTAATAAGCTTTTAAATAACATCAACTTTAAATAATTTAAAATTATTTTTAAGTTTTACAACCGAGTTAAATACATGGACTTTCATTATAGATCTAAAATTTAATTATTTCAATTAAAAAATTATTTCTAATTTAAATTTATAATAATAATAATAATATTGATAAATTATTATTATCATTGACATAAATAACATGTAGTTTTTTTAATATGAAGTATCCAGATATACTGATTGGTCTTTGGGAAGTAAGAATCGCTAACTTGGTCAAAATAGCCTTTGTTTATTCGTGAATGATAGACACTTGAGAATTAAAAAATAATTTTTTATTTATAACTTCATCAATGAAAATTCCATCTAGTAAAACGCTTGATCGCCGAGAATTGATCTCTAATATTCTGAAGTAATTGCTAATACTTTAATAACAAATTTAAGCAAATAAAAAGCTACCAGGAATAATTTTTTAATTGAACTTGTTAGTCTTTCAAAGTTGCTAAACAATATTTATGGTGCTTAGAGATCAATTAACAAGCCTTTCATTTCTTTTTGTTTGTTTGTTAAACAATCAATCTCTCTTATTTCACAAAGGCATTCTATAATTTTTCAGTTACAAGCTCAGTTAACAAGCCATATCATCATTTTTTTTTATGTTATACGATCTAATAAATAATTGACCTCTAATACATGGAAGAATCATCCGCCCTTTTCTGTACCCCCATGAACCAATTCTTGGCAAGTCATTGTTGGTTGAGAACCATTAATAAACTCGGCATAATCTAGTAGGTTAGCCAAATATAGTTGACTCGGTTGAATTTTAATAACATGATTAACCTGCAATGGGATGAATTTAAAAATAATTAAATAATATTATTTTTATAAAAAGTAATTAACTAAGATTAATTTGATGACTCGTAAATTCACATAATAATTTAATAATTTAAATCTCTTATTTCTCGGGTCATCGAGAATAATTTATTTTTATTAGTGCCCGGAATATCGTAGAAAATGATTGCAAATAACTTCATCAAACAAGTTATCCCACACCACACGCCAACACGCTCTATTTAATTTATTTGGGCAATCTCTTTTGTATTTTACAATGATTTTGTGCGGAGTTTGTGATGCAAATGAGTTACTACAAAAACGAAGATGAAATTATACCTAAGTATTATCGTGTTTAACTCTACAAAACCCGAACTCATTGTAATACAATGAAATTCTAGGATAGGGAATTGTAGTGTTTGGTAAACAAAAGGGGTTTGACCTCCCCCAGAAGTTTCTCCATCCAAAACCATATTAGGCGAACCTACCAAACCACGCTATTGCAAGGTCATTACCAAAGTTCCCACGTTTGCATAAATCACACACAAAACACTTACATATATATATATATATATATATAAACATCGTCATCATCTCCAGCTTTCCTGGTTCCAACTTCCTCGTGACCCAACAACACTCACGTGCCCGCATCAAATGCCCACTTTACCCTTAATCTGTGATCAGCCTTCGTAGCTTAAGAGTTGAGCTCATGGTTCTTGAAAGGTTTTTTTTCTCTCCTCTCAGGTCACCTGATTAGAAACCCACGAGAAAGAGCCTTCAAATTTCGAATTATAGACGCCAATATTGAATTTTTCTGAATTTATAAGGATTAATTATATAGATCATCAAAGATTGACCAATTATGTCATTTAAATTAAAAGGGTTAATTAAGAGTTTAATATACTTAATTAAAAGCGTAATATATCGTGGACCCCGCACCGCCCTTCCTCTCTCTCTAAAAGGCTTCGCCGTCAAAGGGATTGCTATCCCGTCCTCCTGCAGAAAGTTTAGAGTCCCCTTTCTTTCTCTCCTTCTCTCTGCAGCGCAGAATAAGGTGCTACCCAGCACAAACAGACAAACAGTGGTGATGGGTGCGTAGGTTAAGAAAATTCAAGCGCAAATTAGCAAGAAAACATAGCCACCAAAACTGTGATATGCTTGGTGTACTTTGCGCACGCCCCAAGCCTAACTGGATCCTCAACTCTCTCTTCACTCATTTCCACCTCAATCACCACCACCACCAACACCACAACAGTAACAACCGCCTCTCTTTGCACCTATCCGGCTCCTCCACCGCGGCTCGCCGCCACCACTCTAGCTTGTGCAGCGCTGATTCAGGCTGCGGAGGAGCGGCGGCGATATGGCACGTGATTCAGCCGGCTGATTGGCGGAGGAGGACAGAGAGGAGGAGTGTGAGAGGGGAGGGGTCGTGGAACGCGGCGTGGGATGGGAGACCGGCGAGGTGGCTCCACCGGCCTGACTCGGCTTGGTTGTTGTTCGGCGTTTGTGCTTGCGTTACTCCGGCGATCGAGTTCTTGAGTGATGTGAATAATATCGACGATGTTGATCATCAGGAGAAAGAGAGAATTGACGGCGGTGATTTGAATGCGAGTTCTGACGACGCGAGACAGGATAGCAGTGACTCTACTGTTGGTTCTGATTATAAAGTTACAGGTTGCTTACAATTATTAATCCATAAAAGTAACAGCACACTATGTTTTTGCTTTATCCTCATTAAAAAGATTCTCTCTTATGGTTTATTTGTCAGTGTTTTTTTAATGAGTGATTATGTAATTTGATTGATTAACTGGTTAATTGGGGTTATTTCATTGCAGTGATTTTTTTATATAAAATATGGATTCGCTATATATTTTTTCAAAAAGACAGTTTGATTTGTAATATCATTACAAAAAAGAAAAGAAAAGTGCTCTATCTATTGGTTGGGAATTCACTAACCATTTCCTTTTCATTTTTTCTTTAAAATTTGCTAGCTTTGTCAATTTTTTTAAATTTTGATTTTTTTTTTTGGTTTTATAATCTTTCTATTCCGTGCAAATTAAAACGAAGCCAAGTATAAATGTTAACCTCCTTTCTCAGTTTTGCTAAATTGATCACACAATCTTCTTTTATATTGAGCAATGGCCTTTTCTGATATTTCTATTTAGGGCAAATACATGTACGTTTGTGCACAATCATGCTTGATTACGTGCTTTCAATTCATTGATGATGTTGTCGTTTGTTGCTGGAGTATATGCACGCATGCATGTGTTTGCGTTTGAATGGGTAGAATCTAAAACGAGGATGCTGCAGGGGTGCTGGCGGATGGGCGATGTCTATTTAGAGCAATAGCTCATATGGCTTGTTTGAGAAATGGAGAGGAGGCCCCTGATGAAAATCGCCAAAGAGAACTTGCTGATGAATTAAGAGCACAAGTAAGAGTTGGTGTTTACAGTTATTGAGTTCTTAAGAATATGTTTTACGGTGGAATTCATCGAATTGTTCTTATGTTAGAAGTTTCTTGTTTGTTTTGACTATAAAATTTTAAACCAACAGATTGAACTGATAATTCTGTTGAATTTGTTTTGCCTATAGCCCCTTATTGGATGACTAGAGTTTGGATTATATTGGGGTAGAATGAGGGTGCTTGTGAAGCAATTCTCATGTCATCCAATAAAATTTTGCAACTACTTAGAACAGTATGATTTCAATACCGATCCGTATTTTGGTTCAGACAGAATTCGATCCTAACTCAAAATTTCTAGCAAGGCAATTTGGTCGATTCAAATATAATTAAATTGAACTGACGTTGATTTCTGTATTTATGGACTTTCTAGATATATTTCTGAGGTTGCAATAATTTTCCTCAGTGTCTAACAATATGCATAACCAAATTTTGTCTTAACAGGTTGTTGATGAGCTTCTAAAGAGGCGGGAAGAAACTGAATGGTAAGCGTGTGGCCGTTACATCTGCAAGCACTTTGTGGTTTATAAGTTAGCTATAATGGTACTTATGGTTTGGTTTTGTCGTGATCAACTTAGGTTCATTGAAGGAGATTTTGATGCATATGTCAAGAGAATTCAACAACCTTACGTATGGGGTGGGGAACCTGAGTTGCTAATGGCTTCTCATGTTTTAAAGTGAGTTTGAGTTCTTTATTTCTTTTATTGCTTCCATTACTGAATAGTTTATACATGTCGGGCTCTTGCTGATCCATGGCTCTTCACTTTTTCCTCGCTTGTGAACAAAAACCAAAAGAATCAATCCACTATGTATAAATATGTAAAATAGTTTTTTTCCCAGTTCTTCTGAAAGAGTTTCCATCTTAGAAGATGGCCTCAGGAAACAGTAAAATCCTGCTTTGCTTCAAAGTTGTGATTTTTCTGGAATCTGCATCTGCATTCATGTTTATGGGTAGGTGTGCGTGCATTGTGATGTGTACCTGTTGATAGATTATGTGGAGAAATAAGGCTTGACACTCAAGGTTGAATTTGAACTTCTTTCTTTCATGCCACATTAATGGTGGGGCAGGGGAACTGTAGACCAATACCACAGCCTTGTTTTTAGTCCACTTTGTTGAAAAGGCCCCATTCAAAACTGAATGGTGTGCTAATGGGTGATGCCATAGCAAAACAGAATTGTTGTACTCCTAGCTTGAGTGCAAAATGCTCTCATCACCATTGTTGGACTTGCATGCTATTTTTGAATTCCAATTTCTTTATGTTTTGCTTGATCTCTAAGTTTGACACTCCACTTCTCTAAACTCAATTTCTCAGGACAATGATATCAGTGTTCATGAGAGATAGGACAACGGGTAATTTGGTAAACATAGTAAATTACGGTGAAGAGTACCAGAAAGATGAAGTCAATCCCATTAATGTGCTGTTTCATGGATATGGTCACTATGACATACTGGAGACCACCCCGGGTCAGAGTTATCAGAAAGAAGACATTTAGAAAGTGGTTTATTATAATTGTTACATGCCTTGGACCAGTTCAATCAAAATAAGAACCTGTCTCAACTTGGATCAGTTCCAATCAAAATAAGAACCTATCTCTATCTCAACTTCGATAGATTTGCTTCTGCAACCTCAGTTCGAGCAATAGACTTGGAAACTTTTTGTAGGCTCCGGGATTTTTATTACAATTTTTGAATTATAGATCAATACCACAAGAGTTTTCTCTGGATATCTCTTAATGCACTTTTTGGTTCCACCCCCCCACCCGCGGCAATAAAAGCAGCAGTTCTCCCCTTCTAGTATATTTAAGTTTTACCTTTTTACCTGTCCAGCATGGAGAGGCGGTTTGGGATTTTACAGAACCACCCGAGCCCCCTTTCACCTTCTTAGAGTTACTTCCTACTACCACAGAGCGATTTTATACTTTTCTTTATACAAGCATTATTTCTCTGCTATGTAGCAATCTGTAATTGAATTGAATATCATATTTGACTTATTGGTTGAAACTGTCAATAAAATAAGGTTTTTCTTCGGTCAAGTAAACACAAAAGTCTCTTCTAGCTGCCCAGAGGATAGCTAACAAGAGTACGCATGCACTTTCGTCAGCATCCAGTAGTTGGGTTGACAGCTATCCCAATTCTCTTGTGCATGCCGATGCCTGTAGAATCAGAATGGTGAGCTTTGCCTCTGGTTAGTTGCTGTTCACTGGTCTGTCACGTTTTTTTTCTCTGCTGAAAAATCCTCTCCTCACCAGTCATAAATGTTCTTGATCGTTTCTTCTTTTCTAATGCTATTATTTACCAGAAATTTGTATTGGGGTCTGCTACTCTTCTCCAAATTTCTGAAGTAACCTGCAAGTGTTAATGACTTGTTCATACAAGCATATCATGCTTAATTACTATGGTTGATCAGGTTCGGGTCGGATCCTTCCGTGTTGTACTCCATGGATCACCTTTTGAATAGATTCGAGATCCAACCAAGAATGGCTCTAGGAAAAAGATTAAAAAAAACATGTATTTGGATGCCAAAAATGTCATGTCGTTGCTATTCTGCTGGTTTAAAGAGATGAAAAATTGTTTTGGCCACTGTTGGCGAGTTTTTTTCCAAGCAGTGGAAAAAAAATATTTTGCAAATTGGTATGTTAAGAAATAATTTCTGTTGAAATTAAAATTAATTTTTTTAATTTTTTTTTTAATATATTTATAAATAAAAAATATTTTAAAAATAAAAGCTAATACAATTTCAAAAACTACAAGAAGTCCCTTAAATAATATAATATTTAAAAAGTTATTTTTAAAATTTTAATACCAATATCAAAAATATAAAAAAAATATTAATTTAATATTTAAAAAAATTAAAACAAGAAGAAAGAAGAAAGTCTTAACAGAAAACAAACACTCACAAATCATCACCATTAACAGGAAATCCCCCAAGCAATCAAATCTTTTAGGTGCAGATATCACTTCAATTGCATTGAAAAACCCAAAATTACCCTTCTTTGTAGGAACAAAATTGATCACAACCTTGACAGAATCAACCCATATAAAATAGTCCTTAGCTGCGAAGTTCCTAACTTTGCCTCCACTAAAATTGCCTAGATCAACATGTCCATTAACCAAAACGTGAAATTGAGCATCATCTAAGTCCGGAATGGAAGAGAAAGAGGGGTCAAAATGAAGGCTTACCATACGGGTCCCCGGTTCCTTGACCTCAAAAGCATATTTTGAAAACTCTTGCAGTGTTGCAGTGTTGTAGATTTGGGAATAATTGGGAGACGGGTTCTGGTTGGTGAGCGGAATCGTTTCCGTTGAGGAGAGAAGTGGCGAATTTGGATGGGAATCGAAGATAAAACGACGGTTGTCAACGATGGAGCCACAAGAAATGAGGTTGTTGTCTGTGGGGTAGAGAAGGTGTGAAGAAGAGAAAGAAAGTGAGGATGAAGAGAGAGAACGTTTGGGTTTTAATTGAGTGAGTCTCCTCCATTTGAGGGGGAAACGGAAGAAGAGAGAGATTTCATACAATGAAGAAAAAATTCTTTTTTTTCTTTGGAACCTCGATAGGGTCATAATGTTCATGATTTTAAAACCTCTTGATTTTTACATTCAAATAAATATTAAAAAAAAAACACATCTTTGATTCATAGCAAGTCCCATTAAAAAATTGAAATCTTAAAAAAAAAAACATGGCGGGTTGATTTGGGATTCAATTGACCTGATAGCTGAACCATTTTAAGTAAGATAAGAGACTGTAATAAATAAAAATCCGGTAAAACTAGGTTGATCTGTTATCTGAAAAAATCCTGTTGAGATCTGTTTTTATTTTTTTCAAATGTCACAAGTCCTGCAGCTTCCATAATTCCATCTCACCTCGATCTTAGTTTTTTTCTCGGCTCAGCTCTAGCTAGAGAGACATGGCAACAAGTCTTAATAACAAATACATGGCTCTATGCCTTGTTTTGATTATTAATAGTTTTGGTTTGTATGTGGTCTCGACACGTGCAGAGCTTTGAAGGTTTGAACAATCTGCAAAAATTGATGGGACACTTTCCTTTCTGATGCTTGGAGACTGAGGCAGAAAAGGTGCTTTGAACCAGTCTGAAGTTGCTCTTCAGGTTCTAACAACTTCCTTGCTTTTCTTTAATTTATATCATGTTTCTCTATGTTTGTGCGCTAGGAAGGGAGTTGGAGAAAAGGTGTGCAACATGTAACTGATATTTTCATCTTTTGAAGAGCTTTCTTTCAATTAATTCCTGCCTGTAATTTGCATGGATACAGGTGAGAAGGATGGGAGAGAAGCTGTATATCAGTGTATGGATCCCTTCAATTTTTCTGGATTAACCTGGGTGAGCCCTTATCAGCCGGAACCTGGCTTTTTAATCAGGTCAACTCTGGATCGGTGTTTTTTTTCCAACTATGGGGGCAGGTCAGTGAGTAGCTCGCAGCTTCCTAATAAGAAGAAGGTTCACTCCATGTCCAGGTAACCTATCTAAGAGCTGGGGCGTGCATATAATTTTTTAGATTAATGTGGGTGTCCGGACCAGCTTGTGCGCACCATGACTAATCCTATGGGTCCTGAAGTTAACGACTATGTAAATCTCTAGTGGCCATCATATAAACAACTAAGGACTTGAACTTAGACCACAAAGAGAACAAATCCTTTAATTCCAAATCATTATCACTTGACCACCTTGAACGTGCATATATTTGGGTGATATAGTGAAGGAGAAAGTGGAGACGATAACTGCGAGGAGGATTTTCAGTTCTGCCATGGCAAAACGCCTTCCAAGACATGTCCGTGAGCCGACGCCAAAGGGCATGTAAACATGAGGATACATGCAGGCCCCACTGACAACTTCGCGGACTGAACTTGTCAGCATCCGGTCCCCAAATTTCAGGGTCTTGGTGCAGGGTCACAATCAAGTCTAAACCATTGACACCCTTTGGGCACAAAAATGGGTCCAAATTCCACGTCTTGCAATCCCCTCCCTGGATAACACGGGAACTGGCGGGTAAAGGCGCTATGTTCCATGAATTACCACTGTCAACTGTAGTTCTAACCTAAATTTGATTTTTTTTTCGAGATTATTAACTTGGGTATTGTGAATTTTAAAATTATGAAAGTTTGTATGTTTGTTAATTTTAAAATTTATAAAATTAATTAAAATATATATAAGTTGACTTAAATATTCATGCTAATAAAAACAAAAACAATTGATTAGATGATGTTTTCACAATTTCAGAAGATTTTATCCAACTTAGATTAAATCTTTGTTAAAAAATATTATCTAACATAAATGTTTTTAGCATGAAATAGTATTAAAATATCTAAAATAAATTATGAATAAATAAAAAATTAATTTTAAAAAACTCTTCATAAAGTTAGCAAGAAATCAAATATAAAACTTTGTTCCACGCATCAATAAAGAAATATTTCTTATATCTTTCAAGTCCCGTATATAGCCTTTGTCCCACCTTAAAAAAAACATAAAAGTTTGTACACTCTTTCAAAATCTATATATAGAAGCTTTAGTTGATTTATTAAAAATTAACCAAAAAAAATATTTTTTAAAAATATTTTCCTAGACTTCCATCTCAAGTTCGTTTACACTTGTTAGTTTTGAAGCCCGTACAAGATTTATCATCAAAGACAAATAGTACAGTTCTTGTGATAACCATAACCATATATTGCATCGTTTAATTCGTGCTTTGACAAGTAACTGTGATTTGATTTGTTCACATTTTTAAGTTTTTACTGTCTTTTTGATGGTATTCTAGTTTTATTTTATTTTTATTTTTTATGCTGATGCATGTTTATTTTATAGTTTATAGTTTATTATTTAATGCTTGATCTAATATATATGTTTAACTATTAGTCAAATTTAATTTAAAGATATTTGATTTTATCTATCTTTGATAAAATAAACTAAACTCTCTTTTGAATTTAGATCCAACAATCCTATGGTTATAGAATTATTTTACCAAATCTCAGGATGGTGAATTTAACTTAAGCTGTATTTACCCCAGAAAGGTAGAAAAAGAGAATATTCATCAGAGCCGAGGAAGACAACAATTGGAATTACCAAGCATGCAAACAAATGTTATTGCTAATCAGATTGGTAAAAAGGGCATCAACAACAAATCATAGAAAGAACACAAAATAAGTGAAAACCCATGTAAAAAAGACAATTCTTCTTCTACTAGGGAGAAATCAGATCATACAAAATGGTCGATATGATCAAATTCTACTTATAAATCTGATAAAAGTAATATTTTTAAGGCTTATACAATGAATTATATATATAATATCCAGATAGTTCCCTTTTTTTTTTTTGAAAAAAAAAAGAAGTTAAATCGAGTGAAAATGGGTATACCTCTAGCATTCTTCAAAGATCAAAGGAGCCTGGTGTTACAAATACCTGTTCTTTTATCATCGATGCATGATGCCTGTAATTCCACTCTCTATGAAGCAATTTCACACGACCAAATGAATAAATATATTAGGTAATCAAGTAATACCACAAGATCATACAAGCCCATAAAATAATATAATTCATGACAATCACAATACAAACTTCATGATTTATTTTAAAATTTTTATTATTTTTTTATTAATATAAATATTTAAATCAATTTATATTTATGTCGACTAATTACATGAATTTTAAAATTAATAATTATATAAATTTTTAGCCGTTTGAAATTTGTGAAATTTAAATTAGTAATTTTTAAAAATAAATTTAAATAATTTTTAAAAATAAATCTAAAACATAAATTAAATTATACGTCACATTAATTCTTACTATTTCATTATCAAGGGGTGTCAATCATGGGTTTTAAAAGAATAAAAAAAATGATGTTGATAACCCAATTCGTTCTCTCTCTTTAAATTTTAATTCTCAATCACTCCAAGTACTCCCTGTCGCTCGCCTCCCTAACCATCATCGCTCATTTTTCCACCTTCACTGACATGCTGAGGCGATGATCAAGAGGGCTAGTGGTTGCCTGGGAGAGGGGTTGGTTATGGCAGCGGTGGTAGCAAAGTTGTCGAGGTTGGCGTTGATGGTTTTCCTTTTCCTTTTTATTATTTTTTATAATGACTTTTAGATATTAAATCAATTATAATAAAAAATTTATAATGTTTTTTTATTTTATTTTTTATTGACTGTATTTGCAAGATTTTATTAGGTATATAAAGAAAAATATAGAAGGCTATGTTACCTTCACCTTCAAATTGCCAGCAAACCGTGACTTTAAAGGCAGTTGCCGTTGCAGTTGACAGCTGTTTTATTGGAAAATTTTATGGTGTCCGCACAACAAGTTACTTTCTAAACTCCTAAACCTTTTTTTTTTTTAAAAAAAATAGATAAATAATGAAAGAATTTTTACCTGAAATTGAAAATCAATTTTGATGGCGTCAGTCACCTTCCGACACATCACCGCCATACTGGTTGCTTCCTCTGAAAATCCGTGCATTCATTCACGTGATTATTCCCACGTTGCGTGTATCTATTGGGTCCCGTGACTCTTTCACACGTGGGCCTCATTTTGTCCCCTCCGCATTTATTACTGTGTTGGCGATTGGCATCTAGCAGCTAAAACCTCTATGCATTAAAGTTTGGCTTATGGAGGTGGAGATAGCTAGCTTTAGATTTTAAATTTATATTTAAAAAATTATTAGTTTAAGTTTTATAAATTTTAAATTCATTAAAAATTTATATAATTATTAATTTTAAAATTCATAAAATTAATCCAAACTAATCTAATATCCATAATAATAATAATAATAAAAAAATTTAGCTACTTGACATTTTCACATCGTTAAAAAGAAATAAAAAATAAAAAATTGGACCATCAAAGTAGTGCCCCCTCTCCGTATTGATGACTGGGGCAGCACTTTAGCTGCCTCCTCCTTCATGGATTAATTAAAGTTCAAGTTACTTCACCTCCTTAAAAACAAATTGGGGCCATCAAAGTTGCCAGATTCATGAAGGAGACACGTGGGAATTTGATGTAGTTGTTAGGAACTTAGGAGCCCTAATTGCTCGATTTCATGTGGCTGGATTGACTCGTGGGTTGGCGTGGTATTGTTTTAATTTTTTTAAATGAAAAATTATTGTTCTAAATAAATAAAAAATTAAAATAATATTATTTTGAATATAAAATATTAAAAATTTATTAATTTTAACTCGGTTAATTCCCACCTGAATTTAATTAAATTGACTAAATTATAAATTAACCAGTTAAACTTAATTGAGTTTTGACCAATTTAACAAAAACAAATCCAGTCTGGTTTATGTATCCTAGTTAAATAAATATGCTTATAGGTATATCAGCCAAATTAATTAGTACTGGGAGTAGTTGTTGTGGTATGGATCTCTACACCATATTATTCGTATTATTTGAGAAATTAATTTAAAATATTCCGCAAGATTATCATTACTCTAGGAACTAGAATAATTGTAAATATTAAAAAGATAATTAATTAAATAAAAAGACACAAGTCACTGGACTGGTGACCAGCCATGATCCCAGGACTCACAATTTTTTTTAAAATTTTTTCTTTATCATTTTTTAATTAATTAGTATTTTTTGTAAAAGAAAATCATAAC